TTCTATATTATATGTCGTGGTTCTACATTATCTGTCATGGTTCTACATTATCTGTCGTGGTTCTACATTATCTGTCATGGTTCTACATTATCTGTCATGGTTCTACATTATCTGTCATGGTTCTACATTTTCAACTGTTGCGAGTTCACTACGACAGCTTTTTTTGGAAGAAACGTATAAAGGTCACGCTTGCAGTGCCAACTCGCGCTATGAGCATGCCACAAGGTGTGGGAACGGTGTAATTAGATGACTGCAGAGTGACTTTTGCGGTCGGGCTCGCTATAGAGAACGACGTTGAAGTAATTGGGGACATGATCGGCTGATTTGTCCCAAGTGCTCCGCTGGTTTTGTGAGTTTTTCCGAACATATTTGTCTTTAAAAGAATTGCATCTATTTGTCCGTTTGTCCGTCAACTAAATTATTAGAGAGTCTTTCAGAAGTCCTGAATAAAAAAAGTTATAAAAAGTAGACCCTTCCCCCAAAAATTGCCGACGTGGGCGGTTACATGGTGTATAAAATAGAGTGAGTGCAAAATGATGAATGAATCATGCCAGAGGTGCCCCCTGCTCGCCTTCGCCACCTCTGTGAATGCCTCCTAGGCGAGGGCATTCGTGACCATATCGCGGCAATGAAGAGCGGTGGCGCAGTGGTTCGCGCTCTGCGCTACGACCCTGGCAACAGGGATGCGATTCCCAGCAGCGGTGGAATATGAACCTGCCCCCCCCACCCCGCCCACACTCCCCCAGGGCCGATTGATCTTCGTGACTTGGTGTAAACGTGGGCACTGGGGAGCCAAAGTCGACTGGGCGAGGTGTTGGCCACAGCAGCTCCCCACGTGCCGTGTCGGCCTGAGTGCACCACGCTCGCTTTGCCGAATCGAGACCTACGGTGTTTGTATGTGCGGTGCGTCTGCTTGGGTCTATGGCCTTCATAGCTGCTCGCGAACAGTACTTGCTCAGACAGTCTATTAAAGGCAATACGGGGGATCTTTGTCTTTGCATTGTGTACATGCTTCTCTATACTAACCGTGTTTTATACAGGTACGGACATGTGGGCGTTGCCTTACCCGTTCATCGAGTCGCAGTTCTGGGTAGGCAAGCGTTTTCAGCACTTTAACGTCGGAACATTAAACATTTACAGACATAAGCTTGTTTAGTTTACAATAAGCTCCCTCGTTATGTTCGTATGAATGTTTTATTACGCACTCCCTAAATCTGTTAAGTCATAACAAAAATAACCTCGTAAGAGGCTTAACGGCTAACAAGTCCAAGGTGGTCTCTTTGTTTGCAGTGAAAAATCCGCGCTGAGATGAAAGCGAGCGATGTTGACCGCGACCCGTGCTCCGGGGACTGGGAGTCGGGGTTGGCGGATCACCCTTAGATGGAACCCTCGCGTACAATCGCTACCCAACGAGGTGCCGGTAGAAAGTTCGTTTCCAGCAGCATCGGTGGAGCACTTCCCCCCCTCGCCATGTGTAGAGTCTCTCCGGGCGTTACGGTTGCCTCCGGCATGCAAAGTTACTTAATAGTAGTTGGACAAAACTGAACACTTTCGTCAATGAAACTACTGCCTTAAAATGTGTGTATAAAATCTAAAAAAAACATAGGTGACGTTTCTGGCAATGGCCTTTCTTCACAGCACATAGAGAGGGCAGAGAGGTAGAGCTGGAATTAGCCAACCATCCCAAACAGGAGTCTCCTGGAAAGAGGCTAAACATGCAGCAGCGATTGCTGCCTGTGTGATTAGAGAATGGCAGTTGACTCAAATAATACAGACGTGACGTGGTCACTTCCCCCTGGGTCCTTCATGGTTCTTCATCTCCCTTCGCATGGATGTGAGTTGAGAGTAGCGGCAGCTATGTATCTGCGTCTCAGTTGTGAACCCAGCTGCTGCTACCGCCTCCAGAAGACAGCGAGAGTGAATGCCACTCGTTCGCGTGGAGAACGATCGCAGTGGACACGAGATCCATAGACTCACAAAGAGACCCACAGACTCACACATATACCCATAGACTCACAAAGAGACCCACAGACTCACACATATACCCATAGACTCACAAAGAGACCCACAGACTCACACATATACCCATAGACTCACAAAGAGACCCACAGACTCACACATATACCCATAGACTCACAAAGAGAACCACAGACTCACACATATACCCATAGACTCACAAAGAGAACCACAGACTCACACATATACCCATAGACTCACAAAGAGAACCACAGACTCACACATATACCCATAGACTCACAAAGAGACCCACAGAAACACACAATGACCACAGACTCACACTTAAACCCATACTCACAGGGACCCATAGACTCACACAGATACCCACATACTCACACAGACCCATAGACTCACAAATAAACCCATACTCACAGAGAGACCCACATACTCACACAGAGATCCACACACTCACACAGAAACCCACACACTCACACAGAGAACCACAGACACCGAGACCCACAGACTCGCACCGACCCATAGACTCACACATGAACCCATACAAAGAGACACATCCTCACACAGAGATCCACACACTCATACCATAACACACAGAGACCCATAGACTCACACAGAAACCCACAGATGCACACACAGACCCACAGACACAGGGGTGGGAGGGCTACAGTTCAAGTGAGCGCAACACCGTCGCTGCCGCTTCAAAGCCTTGCACCTTTTGCGACTGTTTCGGTCCACGTGTCCGCCGGCTGCGAATGTGCCGCAACAGCAGCGTTGTTTCCACTGAAGATGCAACGTCTCCCTCGTATACGTGGCGAGGTTATTGATGTGGTGGTGGTGGTGGCGATGACAGTGTTTGAAGTGTCCCACTATAACCGTCTTGATGTGAGTCTCGCTGCGTGACGGCAAGGAGAGCCCTGCGGGTTGCAGGCGTCACCTTCTCGAGCCAAAATAGCATTACTGTGGGGTAATAAGCGGTGTCAGCGGTCCAGTGGCGTGATGGTAACACGGCATAAAGTGCCCGGTCTCCATCCTCGACTCGGTAGCCTTTCTGTGTGGAGTTTGTGGTTTCTCTCCCCCTCTTCTGCGTGGGTTTCCTGCGGTTTCTCTGGATCCCTCCCATAGAAGAAAGCAAAAAACAAGCGGCATTGGTCAAACTTCCCAGTGCTGAATCGTTCCCTGAGAAATCACTGAATTGGCGTGACTGCAACATCGCCCCCGACTACAAAACACTTGGCAAGGGACTCTCCTGAAAATTAATCTTCACACTCGACGGGGTTTTTCCTGCGTAAACGAACGGCAAAAAAATATACACTAAGGTGACGTGTGGGCTCAGCGAAAGTGCGAGCGACTCACAATGGCAAGGTTGCGGGTTAACTCCCTGGTTGGAGGTTGCCTCGGCCCATCGATCATGCGGTGGGGTCAGTAAAACCAGTACCATTTTGTGGGGTAGTCACGGTGGTTGCTCTCTTATGGATATAGTGTACTCGCCCCGCCACAGGAATGTGGGATTTACACCGCTGGCTCGGGGCTGTGAATAGGCGATGCGCACTCATGCACCACTGCTCGTTTGAGGAGGAAATAACTTTGCCTGTTGAGGCCGAAGCAGCGCCCGAGGGAGGGGGTTGTGTGACCAGAACCACGCCAGGCCCCCTTAGTCTCCCCAATTCTGGCGTTCACACGTCACATCAGGCCGAATCGATCTCGGTGGGCTACTGGGACAGATTCTGATATCACTGGCCACGACATGATGAAAGCTTGACGATGATGATGACACGTTGCAGTACAGTGCGCTGGCTACCGACGCGACCGATCACGTCTGCAAATAAAATGAAGTTTATTTAGCATCACAGACAAGCAGGAAGGCAGCCAGGCGCTGAGCCAGCGCTACCAACAATCACCAAGCTCTGAAGTCTTCAAAATAATAAGAAAAAACGTCACTGTCACACCGCGCTGCGTGTTAGCCGGCTCGTTGTTGTGAGCGTCGCTCCTTCGGCACCCGTTGTTGCCTGCAACTGCCCGGTATCGTCATTCACAGGCCTCCTCCATAGAGGCCGATCTTGACACCGCTGGTACCGGTCATCGACAAGTCAACTCAGCTCCACATCCTCCTGTACCACATCAGTTCATTGCTCTCCAGTGCGCGCCGCGCCCGTTTAATCCCCCTCGATCCAACCAAACAGAAGCTGCTGGGGCATGCGGTGGCTGGGCACGTGGATTACGTGGCACAGCCAACGCTGCATCGCCGACCGGAGGAGGAGCTCACTGATGCGTGCGTCCAAATCTTTAAAGAATCTCTCAGTTCCTCAGGCAGTCCAGCTTGGTTTAACCCAGGATGGTTCGTAGGCGGGTTCAGACTGAATATTTCAAACCGGCACAGATGTCCCTTTAACGGGTTCCACGTCTCGACGGTATTGAGAAGCGAGAGCATAACTGTGACTGAGAAGACCCGGATCTTGGTATGGAGTGATAGTCTAGGCAGCTGATGAGTGAGACCTTCGCTGAGAAACCGGAGTTGGTCATGAGCACTGTCCAGGTACAGAAATCTCTCCACAACTCCCCCATCACTCATGTAGAGTGGCGGAGATGAGGCATTTGACGACACAGAATCCCCAGGCAGGTCCGGCTTTGTTTTAATGGGGCTGATGTTGAGGCCCCATCCCTTAGTTGCACGCTCCATGTTCATCAATAGCGTCTCTAATGCCTTCTCAGAGTGAATAGCAATCACCAGATCATCAGGGAGCCATATCTTCACCCAGGCATCGACCAGCCTCTCATTGTATCTGTACCAGATTTCTCCGGTACAGGCATGGAAAGCTTCTCGTACTCCGAGGTCGAAACAGATGTTAAATAATGCAGACGCCAGAGGACATCTATGTCGCACCCCAAGGTGAACAGGAAATGACTCAGACTCCCGTCCAATCAGCTTTACCGGGTCTTACAAGATCACACACGCTCACTCGGCATACAGAGACTGCCACGTCTTCGGGTCGTACGGGTTCGTACACCAACCAGTTAGGAGGGTGGGGGGGGTGATTTATTTTGCATAAATGGGGACATTCACATTCCTCATCCGTGAGCTGCGTGAAGAGACTCGAGATCGAATCATGAGATCCGCATTGTTCCTCGCGCCCATTGTTTATCAGTCGCACAGCGTATAAAAGTGATCTCCTGCTCTAGATAAAACCCAGACGGCCAACGATATATCGCCTGCTTTGCAGCCATTGGTGGAAATTCCACATTAATATGGCGGGAACGAGCCTGGTATTCATTCTATGGGTCGAGTCAACCCTAAACAGGAGTTGAACTCTCGATCTTTGAGCCACATGGCCCAATCGTAGAGCAGGAGATCAAGGGTTCGTTGGCCGGCTTGCAATTTGTGACCTTGGCGATACCGACCCAGTGAGTGTTCGAAGTGCACGGCCGTCTCATTCACGATTTATTGAAGTTATTTTCACAATCACGACGACAATTTGACCTCAGATTCTAGCGTGCGCGGCGAATCTCACAACAGACGACGCAGTTCAATGCACATTAATCTGTGAATCTATGTTCACACGCACGACGACTGTGTTCACACGCACCACGAGTGTGCTCACACGCACCACGACTGTGTTCACACGCACCACGAGTGGATGGTCAATGGCCGCGTTCACAGCATCGGAGCAGCCCATCAGGAGCGTCCGCCTAAGCACACGCGGGGTGGGTTAACACCAAAGACAAAGATCCCCCGGATAACCTTTAATAGTAAATTGGGGCAAGTGGTGTTAGCGAGCACTTATATGAAGATCGGCACGGAACAAGAGATGGTGGGTGGCCAGCAGTACGCCCGGCTGCCTTTGTCTCCCCAAGATGTATTCACATCCCATCAGGTACCCAATTAAGGCCGAGTCGACCTTATGGAAGCCTAGGACCGGCTCAAACATTTTCCACTGTCATTGGTGGTGAGCGGGAATCGAAAGCGAAATGCGATAACTGCACGACTGCTCCCCAGACTGACTCGTATTCTGTGGGTAACAGCACGCACGCACAGACAGCGTTTCGAGGGACACGCAGTCAGCCTGCGTGTTGCGGACTGTCCGACACCAGGTTGAGATTCAATATCAAGAAGAGAAAAAAAACTCATCTTGCTCAGCCCATCATCCTCCTGGTCCGGAGTCAATAAAATTTTTAGCATTTTGCGGGGAAGTCAAACGTGACTGTCTGTATTTATAGATTCACCCCCGCCCCCCAAAGCAATTTGGCATTTACACCACTGGTTCAAAGCTTGGAACAGCAGAGGTACACTGCCTCGATGCTCATTTGAGTAGTAAATCGCTCTGGCCCTTGACCGAAAAGAGAAAATAATTAAATATTTATGAGCTTACGTGAGCAGTGCTGCGTTCCGTCTCCACGTGCAAATAAAATGCGTTTTGAAGGCCATCGGCCCCGTGGGGTTTCCAGACCAAGAGTGACGCCACTGCATCAACGCATCGAGTCCGTCTCGTGCAATCGTGGCCTTCACACCGCTGTGACGTCACACATGGTGACCGCGTGCTCTTCAATGTGCGAGGGCGATTCGGGAAGCGCAATGCTACATCCTATAGGATCGTGTGCGATGGCGACGGCTTGGGGTGGACTTTCATCCAGCAGTGGATTGATCACGGCTAATGATGTTGCTGCTGCAACAAGGTGGGTGCAGTAGTCACACTCGTTTCATCCAGCAGTGGATTGATCACGGCTAATGATGCTGCTGCTGAAACAAGGTGGGTGCAGTAGTCACACTCGTCTCATCCAGCAGTGGATTGATCACGGCTAATGATGCTGCTGCTGAAACAAGGTGGGTGCAGTAGTCACACTCGTTTCATCCAGCAGTGGATTGATCACGGCTAATGATGCTGCTGCTGCTGAAACAAGGTGAGTGCAGTAGTCTCGCTCGTGCTCCTCCCAACAAGAAGGGGCCTCGCTGGGTTCAATTCCCACCTCGGTCGCTTGTGTGTTTGTTCTCCACCCTGCTCTGAATAGGTTTCGTCCCGTAGCCAGAACACCCCAACAACACGACACAACGTACCTGGTATGGGGCCAAAACATCACAATGCTTACAACTTAACTTTCCTATTCAACAATTGGGATCGCAGACAGCAGCAGCTAGTGCCGTCCTCCTGTGAATACTTGAAATGACCCAACTGAAAATAAGTGGTGACAGTTTGTGAAGCTTTCCTGGGTAAACAACCGAAATCGTAATGACGAAGTTTAAAAACTCGCGAGACCTCCCGTGGCGAATCGCAGTTGAACATGAAGGCGCCTGCTAAGGAGCAACTATAACACCAAGCCACGGCAGACGACCGTGGACTACGTGAGCGAATTAACTGTAGTCATTCGCCAAGCCTCATCGGGAAATTGTCAATCTTGAAAGCTGTGCAGTACGTACCCACTCTCACCACGGCGACACATTCTGTAGCCAAGTCGGTAAAACAATGTCTCATTTCCAAATCCGTCCCTCCACGTGAAAGATAGAAGAACCCCAGACAATAATTAAATTAAGCCGAACTCTGCTTATGAAACACGACGTCGTAATCGGTGCAGAGTGTGCGTCTTCTGAATGGATCAACGCCGGGTTGTGAGACCACCACCGCCATTGTCCATGTGCAGAGACCTGCTGTGGGAAGGAGACGTAATCGGCTTTCGTCATTATTTATTTACACCATCCACAACGATGCCAATTTTTGTTGTCTCTGTTGATAGTTTGCCTCATTAAACATGTGCGCTATCGTTATGGACTACGCAGTTAATCAAAATCGACTACAGCCAGACGTGAATTCGAGGAATTCGATTGCACGACGAGTTAAAGGGCCGCGTACGTCACGGGCGCAAACGAAGTTGACGATAACCTATCGCCAAGTCGACCGCCGCGATTTAAACGTCGCTTACAGGGGCCGGAGCAGAGAGGGCGGCCGCTCAACGGCCCCGCCACGTGCCGGACAGAGTTCCGAGCAGGCCCGAGGGCGAGAACACCTGGCGCAGCGCCTTGCGCCTCAGGTAGCGCTCGAGGCAGTGCACGGCCAGCTCGTCCACGTCCGAGTCCAGCTTGTTGACGAACAGATGCCGCTGCTTGAGCACCCACGCCAGGTCCTTGGCGCTGTTGATGCAGATGGCCCGCATGTGGGTGCCGCGGCAGGGCGGGTAGGCGGCCCCTTGCAGAGTGTCGCCCTCCATGTAGGACCACCGCACGAGGCGCGCGATGGCCATCATGTCCTCCACGTCGTACTTGTCGTGCGGCGGCGTGGAGCCCGGCACCCCGGGCAGGCGCTGCAGCGTCGCCCACAGGTGCTCGTCGGGGCTGAACGTGTCCTTCTCCCACTCCATGAGCGCCCGCGCCGTGGGGTCGCTCAGCACGTGCTCGACGAAGGCGCGCGTCACCACGATGTACGCGTTCCCGGAGAACATGGGCGTGGGGATGGGCGGAGGGGACTTCTTCTCGCCCGTGGAGCGCAGGCCGTCGTTCACGATCTCGTGGCGGATCTGCCACCGACCCACCTTGCCGCCGGGAGTGTGCATGGACTCCATGCTGTTCTCGCCGTTGAGGGCGCGCAGCGCTCGCACCATCTCCAGGTTGGTTTTAATGGGGAAGTCCAGGCCGCACAGGTTGATGAAATACTTCCAGGGCTGCGGCGCGGCCACGAGGTCCCGCATGCAGTTGAGGTCGGCCTGCACGCGCAGCCAGGAGGTGTAGACCACGCGCTCCTGCCGGCTGGCCATGAAGACGTTGGGGAAGCACGCGGCGAGAGCGCGCACCGCCTCTTGGTAGGGCGGCGGCGACTTCTGGTCCACGTGGAGGCAGTAGACGTTCTGCGGCGCGTAGATGGCGCGCAGCAGCCTCTCCAGCATGTCCACGCGGTGGTGGGCCACCACGGAGTAGGCGATGGGGAAGGCCGCCTCCTCCTCGCTCAGCGGCACCGTCACGTACCTCCTGTCCCGCTTGAACGCGTCGCAGTCGCGCGTCATCCTCACGCACTCGCTCTCGTTGAGCCGCCAGCGTTTCCTGAACTCGACCGTCTTCGTCAGGATCGATGCCTCGGCCCACCTCTCCTCGTCGCCCCCGATGATGGCGGGACAGTCGACGTGAAATCGCGGGTCCTCCCTGAAGTCTAAGTTTTTTTCCCCGCGCCTGGTTATGACGATCTCAAACACCTCCTGGTTGAGGCAGATGATGAGGACGGAGCTGACGAGGAAGATGGACATCAGGGTGACCTTGCACGTGGAGGTGTTCCACACCATGGTGCTGGCTTGAATCGACGCGCGGATTCTGCGACAGAGAGAGGCGAGGCGGGTCACGTATTGCCTTTGCGCATTTGCTATGCAAATCAACGTTCAACAATCGGAATGTTTTCGATCGCGGCCAAACAATTCGATGCGCGGTGTCGCTTGCGTAGAATTCCGTCCGCCCGTCGATGCGTAAATTGATTTCCAATCGCGAGTCGGAACAACAATCGTTTACTCGACTCAGAAGAGGAGGAGAGGCGCGCGCAGCTGCGTTAATTCGTGTCGATTTGCGTTGTGATGGCGCCCATTGGTGGCTGTCGCAAATTATTCGCGGGGGGCTGACGGCGCGGTTGGACTCCCCACGCGGCGAGATAAATTCCACTTCGCCTCGAGTCAAAACCTTAACGAGGTCCTTTTGTTTTCAATTGCAAACGGAATGTCAATGGCATCGTGATTTCAGGTGCGATGGAATCACCGCAGCCTCCCCTCCCCCCTCGTGTATTCGGTATTAATTTGTCCCACGAGATGATTCGTTCGCCCGAATGCAGTCGAATGTAGCTGCGGTGTTTAAATTGACGTAATTAGATTGAATGATTGTGTATATGAATGCGCTAGTGAACGAGACGCACCTGCCGGCTCCTCGGGTGTGGAATAGTTTCGCGTCCGAGGTAGAGACAAGAGTTGCCAGAGAAGCACTGGAGCAGAGTCGGACGAGTCAGACAAGACAGGGAGCGTGGGCACGCGCGAGGAGTGGCTGATTTCGCCAGCAGGACACGTGTACAAGTCATTTCGGGGGAACTCAGGCGCTACCCACATTCGCAACACCCCCCGCCCAACGATGCGATGCCATGCCGTGGTCAACCTTTCCCCACCCCATAGAACTATTGTCTTTGAAGGGACGGCGGCATCGGAGGGTTGGTGGGCGGAGTGAGATGCATTCTTCGTGAGATGGGGAGGAATTTAATACTCAAAAACGCGCACCAATTCCTGTTTTTAAGCGGAAGAAAGAATCTTGCGGTTAAGGGATGAGAATAAAGAAGAACGGCTTCTATAATGTCGTAACGTGGGTATCCATCCATCACAACGGGGCTGAGCAACCGACAAAGAACACGAGCTCAGGTGCCACGTACAAACATTGAACAAGGTGAGAACGCAAGCGACCAGGCCGAACTTTAGTTGCATGCGAGCCGTGGGGGAATAGCCTGCGAGGCAAGGCGGGGGGTGATCGCCGCAGCAGTGGTGTGGAATTCCCGGTTGTGCAAGTGTTTGAATTTCGGGGTGGATGTCAAACACTGAGCGTGCCAGTCCGCTGAGCGAGTGACGAGGCGAGTGACGAGGCGAGTGGCTGCGAGTGACAAGGCGAGTGGCTGCGAGTGACAAGGCGAGTGACGAGGCGAATGGCGAGGCGAGTGACGAGGCGAGTGGCTGCGAGTGACGAGGCGAGTGGTTGCGAGTGACGAGGCGAGTGGTTGCGAGTGACGAGGCGAGTGGTTGCGAGTGACGAGGCGAGTGGCTGCGAGTGACGAGGCGAGTGGCTGCGAGTGACGAGGCGAGTGGCTGCGAGTGACGAGGCGAGTGGCTGCGAGTGACGAGGCGAGTGGCTGCGAGTGACGAGGCGAATGGCGAGGCGAGTGACGAGGCGAGTGACTGCCAGTGACGAGGCGAGTGACGAAGCGAGTGGCTGCGAGTGACGAGGCGAGTGGCTGCGAGTGACGAGGCGAGTGGCTGCGAGTGACGAGACGAGTGGCTGCGAGTGACGAGGCGAGTGGCTGCCAGTGCCGAGGCGAGTGACGAGGCGAGTGGCTGCGAGTGACGAGGCGAGTGGCGAGGCGAGTGGCGAGGCGAGTGTCCACGGCGACAGCTCGGACGCGCGGAGTCGTCGTCGTCCCCCCCCCCCCCCCCGGGGCTCGCGCCGCACGCAGCCAACCGCGTGGTGGTGGTGGTGGTCGCAGGTGCGGAGGGAGAAGGGCGACACGCAAACAAGACCGCACAAAAAGCAGTTTCAAAGAGACGAGTGTTACGAGAATCGGATATTGAATTCGACAAATAGAAGCGTAAATATACATGGAGGCGGTATGGGCCACAACTAGATGTGTGTTATAGATAGTACGTGAGATGTACAAACACACACACACGAATATCACGTCGCCCACCGGTAGCGCGTCAGCCGCTTGATACAGCGGTTCACTGTTCGATCCCAGCGGTCGCCCTGGTGAATACTGCGGTGGGTGTATGAACCCTAATCGCACTACGCGCCGTCGGCTTCACTCGAAGTGGACAAAGATCCCATCGGGTCATTCGCAAGAGTAGGCCATTGTGCGCCGGTGGATTGGCCACGCAGTCGATAATTTCTAACATCTGGACAACCCCTGGACAACCCAGTGGATGCTGATAGTTGGGGTTGATGTTACCGGTGGAGCTGTTTAAGCGTGGGTCCCCGGGTTCATAGCGCAGTGCGCAGACCACCCATCATCACGTCTCCGTCCGATGTTAACTCTTAAGCCGAGAGGTTCACGGTTTCCAGACGTGTAAATCAGGAGTTCATGTCTCGCGCCAAGTTACGCGTTCACGCGGCTCGTGTCCTTTGCGAGAACGTGCACCGGTAGTTTGTGATTAACAAGGCCACGGTTGTTTGAGTTGACTGCGAACCCCCGCACCTCCGATTAGAACGCCTGGCTGCGTAAAGTGCGAAAGAATTTCAACGTACACATATCTCACGTTCCTGAGATGGGAAGGGATTTACCCCTTTATAAAGATTCGCGTGGCCATTGTATTGTGAGAGATTAGCATGTCACTGTAAGATCGCAGAGCCACCGCCACATCGAGGAAAACGAGCAACGGTGGCTGTGTTAGGGAGACATTTAACCTGTTAATGTAAAAACATTTAACCTGTTAATGTAAAGACATTTAACCTGTTAATGTAAAGACATTTAACCTGTTAATGTAAAGACATTTAACCTGTTAATGTAAAAACTTGATTAGGTGCTTTCGTGACTGCAGGAATTACTCTTTGTTTTTTTCGGTAAAGTCACGAAGAAATAATAAAAAATAAAATTATATAATAGCATACGACGTTTCGATTGCAACACAAGTAATCATCATCAGGTACAGAAGAGATACATTTAAGAGAGAGAGGAAACACACAACCGCAGATATATATACAGACCTTAAGTAGAGGGAATTAACACAGACACACCAGGTGTGCTCCGTCTCTCTCTGTGTCCCTTGGTGTGTCTGTGTTAATTCCCTCTACTTAAGGTCTGTATATATATCTGCGGTTATGTGTTTCCTCTCTCTCTCTTAAATTTATCTCTTCTGTACCTGATGATGATTGCTTGTGTTGCAATCGAAACGTCGTATGCTATTATATAATTTTATTTCTATAATTTCTACGTGACTTTACCGAAAAAACCAAAGAGTAATGTAAAGACACTTGACCTGTTAATGTAAAGACATTTAACCTGTTAATGTAAAGACACTTGACCTGTTAATGTAACACCGGAGAGTCGAAAATAACTACTAACAAGAAATGTAAATGGGCTTGAGTATTACATATCCCTAGACGTGATAAGATGTCCCTAGACGGGATGATACGTCCTACTCGAGTCCATTTACATTTCTCAAATGTTAATGTGTCTGATTTATGTCTGTTTGCTGATCCATGATTCTGTTAGTTCTACCTGAAGGGTATTCTGCTCACCTGCTGAAACCTCGCTGACATCACTAAGTCCTTGATGTGCGTCCAGTATACGATCTGTCCTCTCAATGTGCATTATCACTCACGCGGTAACAGTAATTACGATTGGATAAAATGCAAAGCCAAGAGACATCGTTATACAATACCGTAATGTGGCACAATAACTCAGACTTATGCTTCATCTCAAAGGGCAATATTAGAATGCCACTAATTTCTTCACGCACACTTCTATGCCATTTACAAACAGCCAGCAGACTGGCGGTTTTGTGTCGGAGACAACTCATCAAAAACGTCAATACATTAATAAAACTCTGACCTCTGCCACCCCGAGGGGGTTCCGAAAAAGTCACAGCGCCACGGTGGCAACCGGAACAACACTTGGTAGCGTTTATCATCAACACTGGTGACCAACGTGAGGGCACCGCTCTGCTGGAGTCGCTGGGCCTCTGCACAAAGATGAACGTTGGGAAGACGTCGCTGTAGGCGAAAGACTTCGCTCACTCCGGCCGCGAAGCCTGGAAGCTCCTCTACGAGTACACGCAGTGAAATTAACAAGGCGCGGGGGTTTATTGAATTAGACTCATCTCGATATTTAATCGGCGACCAATTTCCCTTCTCGAATTGAGGGCGCGCGCTGCTGCAGATGACACAGAGTTGAGTGGAAACCGGTGCAGGGTTGTCATTGTTTAATAAACAACAGCTGCTGGTATACTCTGACCCCACAGGGCCATCGATATCGTGGTTAAAAAAGTGGTTTTATCTTGAATAAAAAAAAGCCGCCCTTGCGAACGTGTATGTAGGTGAGTGTGCGTGTCTGCTTGTTATTCTGAGAGCGGTGGCACAGTGGTTAGCGCGCTGCGCTATGAACCCGACAGTTCGAGTTCGATTCCCGTTCAAGGCTAAAAATCGGTGATGAGTATGTGAACAGGTGCCAATATTGATTCTGCCTTCCAACAGCAGCTGGTGTGATGTGCAAACACCGCAGCATTGCCGAGACAAAGGCGGCCGAGCGTGGTGCTGGCCACCCACCGCCCTTTATTGTGCCGTGCCTGCTAACAGCACTTGCCCAAATAGTCAGTTACAAGCTACATGTGGGATCTTTATATTTGCCGTTGCATTCTTAGGGCGCCATTTCGGATCGTTTTTGCCCCTGTTTAGCCGGGGGATTGGACCGCTTCTCGTTTCCATGCTCGAGAAGTCGTACAATAAACACATTTCCAAACTTGTTTTGGGTTGCCCGACGTTTCGTTCCAAGTGCTCCCAGCACGTGGAGTAATAACGTCCGACATCATAGGAAGCGGAGTAGCCTCCGGTATTCGCATCGCATTTACTCGTACGAGTGAGAAGCACTCGCTCAAGAGCCGCTGTGCACTTCGGCCAGCAACCTTCCTCATCCCGCGGGCGTGGACGGGCTCCATCGCAGCCCTCTCTGCTGGCTGTATGCGACAAGTACGCGGTGATCTCGGCGTGATCCATCGACCCTCACCCGCGCCCGCCCCCAGAGGGCTGGGTTACAGGCAGCTCGAGTTGGTCAATGGGGACTGCCTAACGATGGCATTCCTCGGGTCCCAGTCGCATCATCATCGTCGCCATCTCATCACTACTATATGGCTACCAGCATGGTTATTGTTGCAATAGGATGTTTGGCCAATCCATTGTAAACGAATCGTGTGTTTAATGATGATGGAATTGTTGATCAAGTCAACGAGTTTGAATAATGTGTAGTTTTATAGATAGCGACGATGTTCATACACATTGGCTCTCGCAAAGCTGGAAGCAGCAGTTATGCGGTGAGCTGGCTCTACTAACGACTTCCCAAGCTCTGCAATCCTCTCTATATAACGACGTTTTCAGCAAATCAATGCATGTTTGTCACCAAAAAAGCGTGACTACTGAGTCGTACTGCTCTCTTCTAAGAGGGTCTTGTATTGTCAGATAGCAAATGAACACGGGAAGCAGAGGTCCTTGAACGCGTCGTTTAGTTGCAATGGCAAACGGTCCACCCCGATCACGTGAGAGCCCCCCCCCATCCCACCCCCGTGGCTCAAGCGGGGTCTCCGGTATAACCTTGGGGGGAAGCGTTCACACTAAGTAATAACGAACAGCCCTTTGTCAATCCACTGCTGGATGGAGGCCTCCCCATGTCTCGTCGGTGATGGGCGTTGTTTGACCATACTTCACCGCGCCGGTTAGTGCGGATTGGTGAAGTGGCTCGGGGCTTGCAGCACCAGTCCAGACATGTCACTACCTTTCCACCGATTGCCAGCTGTGTCAGGGAGTCGAACTCAGGTGGCCGGGTTACCCGAGTTGGAGAGGTAGCGCCAAGTGCAGCGGCCACTCGGTGCCAGGTGAGATTAGCGCGCC